TTGCCTTTCTCTACCTCCACACTCATCTTGAACTTTTTAGATACCACCAGTGTTTCATTTTTGTTTTTCAACAAAAACACTCGCATAAATCGTGAAAAATCATCCACCAGTAACATGAAATATCAGTTACCTTCATAAGTCATTAGCGAAATAGGTTCACATAGATCTCCATGGACGAGATCCAATGACTCCTTCATATGATATGTTGTTGTTTGTGGAAAAGGAGTCCTATGCTGCTTTCCAATTAAACACCCATCACAAAATTGATTAACCTAGGTGATTTTCGGCAACCCTCCTATGCTGCTTTCCAATTAAACACCCTTCACAGAATTGATTGACCTAGGTGATTTTCGGCAACCCTTCAACCATTCTTTTGTCATTTCATTGCTTTAAAGAGTGAAAAGTCAGGTGTCCATACCTCGCGTGCCAGAGCCAACCATCGTTATTGATATTTGCCATTAAACACACTTGATTCGCAAGCCTCAACTTTGCTACATACAGTCAGTTGGATTGTTTGGTCACCATAATAATCAAGCTCCTGGCCCTGTCATATATCTTCATCACATTGTTCTCTATGACAATTTTATTTCCACTCTCGTCTAGTTGCCCAAACTTATAATATTGCTTTTGAGTTTGGGTATGTAATAGATTTGCGATAAGATCAAGTGCTCATCGGTTTTGCATTTGAAGAGCACTATTCCTCGACTACAAATGTCTATTACAGAGTTATCACCGAAACGTACCTTTCCAACAACAGATGTGTCGAGCTCACGAAACACCCTCCTTTTTTCTGACATGTGGTTGCTTGCTCCAGTATCTAGGTACCAGGAATTTTTAGCTTCAATATTGGTTGGTGGCGGCTCTATAGTTTCATTCAGCATCACAAAATCAGGCTCTTTGTCACGTGTAGTTTTAATTTCACACGCCTCTATCATCAGCCATGAAGACTCCTTATCCTTCTGCATCTTTATCAAGTTGAGTTGTTCGTCTTTTGTGGAACATTCTGATGCGAAGTGTCCCATCTGCTGACACCGGTAACATTTAATTTTACTTTTGTCTAATTTCTTCTTCTGAGTTTGTGACTCTCCTTCCTCTCCTCGATGCCAGTCACTTCTCCCACGGCCTCTCCATTTTCCACGACCCTGTCCCCTACCTCCTCTGGACCTGCCTTGATCCTTCCCTTCTTTCTTTGAGGATTTTGCATTCTCTCGTCCCTTCCATTCTGCACGAGTGAGGAGAACGGTTTCATCTTTTTCTCCAAACCCTTGCAATCGTTCTTTATGTGTCTTGAGTAATCCAATAATCTCATCAACAGATTTCGTTTTGAGATCACTGAACTCCTCAATCGTTGAAGTGATTTGAAGAAACTTTGCAGAGGTGGATCGTAGAAGCTTCTTAACTACTTGGATATCATCCACAGTATTGCCAAGGCCTCTCAATTTGTTGACAATAATGATGAGTTTTCCAAATACTCATCAATACTTTTTGAATCACCCATCCTCAACCTTCAAAGTGCCACTAGAGCCATATCTTCTCCAATACTTTGATAAATAGCTGCTAAAGCCATTTTATCTTTGCGGTTATCTACTGTTTCGGGTGATTCAATTGCCTCCCAAACACCTTGTGTCATCATAAATACCTCCATCTTAATCGCCCAAGCTGCATAGTTGCATTTTGTCAACATCGAGTATTTGAGTGTGACAGATCCCTCCTTTTCTTGAATCCGTATACTCACTTTGTTTGAGGCATCATCTTCTATCGCACCGGTGCTTTGGCTCTTGTCACTCGATTTCTGTTTCATTTTTTGATCTCTCTCTTCTTGACCGCTCAATCTCTAAGTGAGACATGATTGAATAGCTCTGATACCAAATGACGGAGAATAACAGAAGGGGAGAAGGAGCAAAGACACAAATTAATTTCTCTTTTTTTTGTGGTGTGTTACTAACTTGACACCATTTTTCTTACATAATAAAAAATTAACACATTTCTTGCTACAAATTAGCTGCCACTACTTCCACTAATTCCACTTCTTAAAGATTAGTTCCACTCTTCCACTCTTCCTGTCATCAACATAGCTAGCCTTTTTTCATGGTGAAATAAACATAAAATAAAATAAGTACTAACAGCTATTTTTAGCAAAAACTTATGAGAAAAAGAAATAAATAAAACAAGTTTATAACCAACGCCCATCCCACTTAGCCAATATTCCCTAAACTCCCTTCATCAATTAGGATCTTGACTTGACCCATTTTAGGAGGTGAGAAGCCTTTGTTCTCTTTGCTGCTCTTCCAAATAAAATTGCAGGACAAACACTCACTAGCAAACAAGGCCATGGGAGGGATGGGGTAAAGGGCCAAATAATAACTAGTGAGATTAGTCAAAGTAGCTTGGATAAGAGGACGACCCTCTTTCGATATGTGAAAATATCCCCATGGGTTAAGCCTATTCTCCACTTTTTCCAGAGTAGAAGCCAAAAAGAGTAAGATTGAGGCTTGCCATTGAGAAGCAATTTCAAATAAGAAGTTGGCCAATTTCCTTCATTGCACCTGAAATTAACGGTAAGAGAAAACACCACTTGTAGGTCAAACATCGAAAGAAGGAATTGTAGGAAAATTTTTGACCAGACTAGAACTCCAAAGGCGAACATCCCCCTCCCTGGACTAATGCAAAACTCTTCCAACAAAGATTAAAGAGTTAGAACGTCTGTCATTTTCCTATCGATCAACGGACTACGAAAACCAAAGAAGGAGATAGAGAGTTCTCAAACTGAGAAAGGATTGTAGCTTCAAAATGATTCTCGAAGAGAATAGCTGATATAAGGAGGAAACATGGAGTAGAGGGGTTTATCCCCGCCCATTTATCCTCTCAAAAGTAAGTATCCCCCCACCTCCTTTAACACAATAAAGAAATTGTTAAAGAAATGGTAGCTAAATAGAAATATCTTTTCATGGGTTTCTAGAAATGCATTTAATCCCACTAACAAGGAAGCTCAATAGAAACATCTTTTCATGGGTTTCTGGAAATGCATTTAACCCCACTAACAAGGAAGCTCAATAGAAATAACCATTTAGCTAATAGGGCTTTGTTCCTGGCTCTTACGTTATCTATGCCTAACCCTCCAAGGTTTAGCAGCCTGCACCACCTTCCATCTCACATGATGAGAACCTTTCTCCTCATCAGCTCCCTCCCATAAGAATCCTTTTCAACTTCTCAAAAACTACTTAGTTAACCACACTAGGGAAACTGAAGAGGGACATAAAAATAGATCGGGATGTCGTTCAAGACTGATTGGGTTGGATTGAAAGTCCCAACATGGGAAGAAAGGATGGGTGCAACATTAAATACAAGCTAAGGGAGAATTCAAGATCTTCTCTCTCCAAATGGCCAACATAATTCTAATAAAAAAATACTCCTGCACCTTCCTATTTCCTTATATGCTTATATATCCCATAACGACAACATTTCTCAATCCATGTCTTAACCAATTCCTGGGCCCCACTCATATATTACTCACTCCTTGCATAATTTATCTTTCCCCCTAGTGTTGTCCTATGACAAACCTTCGTTATTGGGGCCGATGCCTATCACGTGTGGACTTGGGACCATTGGAGAAATTTGTAGGTGATGGAGAAAGAGCTGTCTATGGACACTATATACATGGAGATGTCAACGACACAAGAGGAAGGTGCGTGATGTGAGGTAGAAGAAGAGTCTACTTTCCAGGTCATGTTTGTCCATTCTATGAGCACGAGTTGGATGTTACTTTAGGTATATCCCAACTAAAGCCAATATTATTACACTACCTAGTGTGAAAAGTTTGAACCCTTAAAATCCACAAAATTATGTCATATTCATAGATCTAAAGACTGACGGTAGGTATATTATTGTGGAGATAGAAGTGCGGTGATCAAGTATACAAATGACTTGGCTGTTGAGGATTATTGGGAGTGAGTGTCCCACATTGGTTAATTTAGTGGAAGATCATGATTTTATAAGTGAGGAATACTAACTCCATTGGTATGAGGCCTTTTGGGGAAGCCCAAAGCAAAGTCAAGAGAGCTTATGCTCAAAGTTGACAATATCATACCATTGTGGAGAGTCGTGATTTCTAACATTGGCCATAGAGAGTAATGGACATAGTTTAGATTTTTGAAGATTAATCATGACTAGAAATCGTGAGTGAAAGAGTGCACCACATGCATGAAAGAGATAATGAACCTTGGGTTTGAGCATGTTCGTTGCAAGATGATGGCATGAGTTTTTACAAAATGTTTTCATGAAATGGGCCCTATTAGTAACTGTTTCTGAAAACCATTTCAGGATTTGTGCCCACAAAATACTTACCTGTCGTTCTTGATATGCCTCGCATTTTTAAAAACATAAAATTAAATATGATTCAATTAATTACCCATCGTACAGTTTTCCCTTCTATTCTAATCTTAATGACATTGTCATGGACAACTAATTACTTGAAAACTTTGGCCTTCTGTAATTAGTTGTTATCCTGGACAACACAATGTGAAGAAGATTTAGTTAGGTTGGGATTCAGACAATATTTATTTTTCCAATATGCTAGAATACTTAAAATATTGTTGTCACTTTCCTTTTCTTGCAGACACTTTTGGTGCAACAACTAACCTGGACAACACAGTTTCTTACCCACAAAGACCAGTAAAGCTTGAGGTGGCAAATGAATCTTCTGGACTTGTGGAATCCACTAAAGGTTTTAAAAGCAGCATTCAATGTTTATAAAGCTTTCCAGCAACTTTTCACATCCTTAAAAAATAATAATTATTGTTTCATCAAATTATTTTCTGAGTATGTGCGCTAGGATACTTACATTTGTTAATGTGGTTTGATTCTTCCTGTAGATTCGTCTATCACGAGTAATATGGGTGTCAAATTTTCAGCACAGTCAGTTGAACCGAAAATTCAAAACACTGACAAGTCTCCCGTGGTTGATTACTTTGACAAAGAATGCAGTAAATTGACTGGTTAGAAAGGATTATCACCATATTCATGTACATTAAAAAAAATATATTGCTTCAATATTATGGTAGCATTGTGGCACATATTGGTTTATTTTGACTATGTTCTGGCATGCATCTGGTATGATTTACTCGTATCCCTTACAAAGTCAAGATGGTTGAACACTTTAAATGCTCATATGATCAGCAACTTTATGTCGGGTTGGCACAAATATTAGATTGCAATATGGAGGTAGATGCTAGCTTTTTATCTAAAAACATATGGAGGTAAAATATCATGTTTACATTTCTTTCTTTTTATTTTTTGGAAACACATGCTGACATTTGTTATTGTATCCTTTGTTGTAATGTATGTTGGATTCTGGAGAATGGAGTAGGATGACTTTTTTTTATGAGATTTGTAGGGTTTAATTAGCTTTTAAGAATCCAACATAGGTAGGAAAAATAAAATATGTATTCTATCCTTGGGAGTTCTCAAGTAAGTCGAAGATATACATCCAATTAAAAAAAGAAAAAAGAGGAAAAAAAAAAAATAAAGAAAGAAAGAAAGAAAAAAGGAAGAAAGAATAGGTGACCAGTGGGTTTCACATATGCAAGGAGAGGGAAGAACTAGTAAGGTTGGGGGTCATTTAGCCTCTAACAATGTCGAGGTTATTCGGCAGGGTAAGCTAGTCGGGTTTTTGTGGGTTAAGACTGAGCAACTGCTACTAATATAGGGAGAGGACTATTGACAGGAGGCTAGAATGTGAAAGTCCCACCTCTCAAGTGCTTGGAAGGTGAAGTACCTAATATTTATTAACAATGTCTTCTAAATTTGTTTTGAACAATGCATTATCATTTTTTCTATAATGAAATCTTGTCAAACAATTTTCTTTTTAACGTTTAAAGTTTGATGTATATATTATCTCGAGTTTTTTAGCTAACTTTTATGCACCTCAATTACATTTGATTGATACTATTACATTTGGACATTTGGTTGCCAATAAATTTGTAGGGTATTAAATCCTAAGTCGGTAGTCATTCCATTTCATTCAAAGCTCTTTACCTTCTTTATTGATCCCAATGGCTATCAGGCCGGTTGTAAACACATAAATTAAAGCTCTAAAATCAATTACATTAACAAACCAATCAACTTGTTTGGCTTTTATAGCCTTGCAAACTAACAAATTTAGAAATGATAAAATTAGCCAAATCTAAAAAATAGGAAAAACAACTACCCACTAATTAATTTAGTGGTTCTAACATTACTAGAGAAGTGGACATCCTAAAGAAATGGTAGCCATTTCATCCTAGAGAACAGGTCATGACCATCTTTAACAATTTTTCCTCTAAACTGATTGTAGGGATGCTTTCAGTTTACTCGTGGTATTACACACATACCCATTGACTCACATAGTTTTCTGAATGCATCCAGCTTCAGTGGTTTTGTCATAATATTTGCAACTTGTTCTTGTGTGACACAATGCTTCAGCTCAATAACTCCATCTCGGGTCAAATCACGCAAGAAATGAAACCTCACATCAATGTGTCTGTTACGTCCCTCTGCATGATTGAATTCTTGGATAGCTTAACAGTGGAACTGTTATCACATAACATAGTGATACACTTGTCTTGAAAATGACCAAGTTTTTCCAAAACTCTCCTCATCCACACCCCTTGACAAGCACAAGATGCGGCTGCCACAAATTCTGCTTCAGTAGTGGATAACGTAACTACAGGTTGTTTTTTTGAGGACCAAGACACAGCTCCATCACTGAGTAAGAACACATAGCCAGAAGTGCTTTTCCTGTCATCTATATCTCCTACATAATCACTGTCAGTATATGCTATCAACTCTCCATTACCCCTTTTTTGATAAAGGATTCCCAAATCTATAGTACCTTTTAAGTATCTCAACACTCTTTTTGCAGCTTGCAAATGCAACTCGGTTGGACTTGCCATAAATCTGCTCATTAGAGACACTTCATATGTGAAAACCCTAACCCGAGGAAAAATAGGGTTTTTTCACACTATTACTTTTTTCCATCCTAAACTTCTCCAAAACTTCTTTTGCATCTCTACACCGAGAAAATATTTCATTTTTACCAAATCAATCGTTTCAAATTCAAGTTTCATAAAATTCTTGAACTTAACAAACATGCTCTCATCGTTACCAGTAAAAATTAGATCGTCAACATATAGACTAACAATCAAAATTTTATCTCCATCTCCTGTTTGTATGAATAAATTAGGGTCACAATTGCACCTCTCAAATCCTTCTTTGACAAAATGTGCTTCAATTCGACTGACTTACCATGCACGTGGGGCTTGATTAAGGCCATATAATGCCTTCTTCAATTTGTATACCTTGTATTCTTGACCTTTTTTTCTCATAAACTTGTGGTTGCTCAACAAAGATGGTTTCTTTTAATTCTCCATATAATAAAGCACTTTTCACGTCAAGCTGATACACGTTCCAACTATTCCGAGCTGCTAAAGCAATTATCATTCGAATAGTATCCCACCTAGTCGCAGGTGCAAACGCCTCGGTATAGTCTATACCATGTTGTTATGCCTAACCTTTTGCTACCAACCTAGCCTTATACTTGTCAACTTCACCATTTTCGTTGAGTTCGGTTTTGAAAACACACTTTACTCCAATCTTCTTCATTTCTTTAGGCAAATTTGTCAACTTCCAAGTCTCATTTCGTCCGATGGCTCCTATCTCCAAGTCCATTGCAGCTCTCCATTTTGAACTTTGAACAGCTTCTTCAAAGGTGGTTGGATCTGTAGTTGAGGTTAATAGAACTAAATTGTTGTTCTCAGCTTCTTCAGAAAATTCTCCCCCACTCACATAATCTTCCATCCATAATGGTGCTCTTCTGTTCCTCATTTCGGGAGTGCTTTCTTCAGATGTTGAGGAATTTGCTTCAGATGACTCGCTGAAAGATATACTAACTTCCCCTTCTTCTTCTGCTATCGTCTCCTCTTCAGATTCTTCCTCACTTTGGTCATGTTCGCCTCCTTCTATAATACTATCTTCCCATTCAAGGGTATCAAGTCTAGCTTCTTCATTAGTTTTCCTCCAATTCCAACATTTGTTTTCTTCAAAAATAACATCTCTGCTTACAACTATCTTCTTGGACATTGGATCATAGAGTCTATATACTTTAGACTCTTCACTCATCCGTAGCAGCACACAGTGAAAACTTTTATCATCTAATTTCTTTACGTAGCAGAACACAGTGAAAACTTTTATCATCTAACTTCTTTCTCTTACCGTCTAATACATGAACATGCCCAATGCATCCAAAAACTCGAAAATTAGGTTTTACGCCACAATGAACATTAGGTTTTCCGTAGCAGCACACAATGAACATTAGGTTTTACGCCACTCCAAGCCTCCTCAAGAGTCATATCTTCCATAAGCATAGACCAATGATCGTCATGGCCATCAAACTTAGGAATTGCCGGTTGAACGAAATTGATTTCAGGTGCCATATTTTGAATATCTTTCAGCTCACTCATTAAGAAAAAAAACTAGTTTCTTCTTCTCACAATCAGGCCGTGCAATGTGGCTCTGATACCAAATGTTGTAAACACACAAACTAAAGTTCTAAAATCAATTATATTATCAAACAAATCAAGACTTTTATATCAGTACAAAACTAACAAATTTAGAAAAGATAAAATTAGCTAACTCTAAAAATTGAAAAAACAAGGTTTTAAGATTACTAGGGAAGTGGACATCCTAAAGAAATGGGAGCAATTTCATCCCAGTAGTATGACCATCTTTAACAAGGCCAACCCATGATCATCATCATACGTTGTTTTTGGGATGCCAATTGTTGATATTCTCAATTGCATTATCTTTAGCACCGGAGCAAATTGTTTTTTTGGAATGCTGGAAGGGAAAAGCATGGAATGTGAATTGGTTCTGTTGAGGAGAGAGAAATTGAAAGACACGAGGAAGTGGTGTAGGAGGTGATACTGCACAAAATTGGATGATGGTAAAGAACGTAGAAATGTTGCTTGAACGCAGATTGTGAAATGGAAACAGTCAATAATAACTAATCTTAAAGGGGAATGGCTATAAGCTTTTCTTCTATAGGCATAAAGATCCACACACTTCTCGTAGAGGTCAATCGAAGTGAGAAGAGGAAAGTTGCGAGTCCCTACATTTCTTCCCGTAATGGCTTTGATGGTTTGATTTTTTGAGTCTTTCTGGTAAACTTAAGCTAAACATACATGTTGAGGTGAAGATGTTATTAATGAGTCTGTGTGAGGAAGAGGGAATTAAAGTTATGGGAAAAAGGCTGTGTGTCAACTATGGTAGTGAACCTATACTTTGTTAGGAAGGATGCAAATGCGGCAATAGCTAGGCCTCCAAATTTTCAATCCAACTAAAAAAAGAAAGAAAAAGAAGGCTATTGCAAAAGTGATTAATTGACATTTAAGGGACTTACAAATGCATATCTGCAAATAGGAGAGAACATGGTTTATGTGTCTTCTATGTGATTAGAATTCGTGGATGTGAGAAGTAGGACTTGCATATATTGGTTCTAAAGGAGTGTATTGGACTTCTTTTTTTTTTTTTTTTAAATCTCGGGAGGACAAAAATACCATTTTCAATAATAAAAATGAAAAATTAGCCGGTGGGATCCAAATAAGAAACAAGGCCTTGTCAACAAGAATTGAAGCACCAAGTAACAAATAAAAGTTCTACAATCATCTCCTATCTGTCTTTCTTCATTTCATAATCTCATGTTTCTATCTTGTCGTAATCTTGTTTGTAGAGGGTGCACAGATGTTTGGTGTTTTGGGAAAAAAGCTTTTTTATTTTTTTTGAAGATCGAAGCAAGTTGACTCTTATTTAGTTCATATTGGGTGGTATCTTGTTATATTTTATGTCTTATCTTTAAGTTTTCGCGTTTTATTTTAGTTAGGTTGGAGAAGGTAACAGAAACTTTTAGTGGATAGGTAAGGGTGAAGGGCATGGGTTGCATCCAATTAAGTGAGAGGGTTAGCTTATGATAAAGGTAGGTTGGGAGTTGTGAATTTAACCTTGAAAATGAAGCTCCCTTGGTTAGATGACATTCTGTTTAGGAGCATACCTTGCTTATAATCTATCTTTGTTCGAATAAGAGGTGCTCATTCATTGGCATGGTCATTCAAGTAATGCTTGGGTTATTCTTTCTACCAGCTACACTTGATACGCTTAGCTCGAGTTGTTGGTATTGATGTGGATATACATCCGATTAATTGGAATGATACAGAAATGATTAGTACGACCTTATAAAAAACAGTGCAACTCATACATGAAGAAGATAGAAAGCTAGTAAGACTGTGTGACCAGTTACCCTTAACTATAGATGATGTTCATAAGGGAGTTAGGTTGGTTAGGTGGTTGAGTTGTATTGCATCAGGTAGTTACAGCTCGAAATCGGGACTCATAAGAGGAAGAACTCCAATTCTTTTTGGTTCTCTCATGTTATTCTTTCCAAAGCATCTCACATTGCTCAAAATTTGGAGTTCATACTGCCCCTCCAATTATGAATGATTACATATAACAACTTGGGAACTTTTTGATGCACATAGGTATGGAACATTTATACAAGAATAAGTTGCAAAATTTCGCTCAGAAGAAAAACCTCACTTTACCTGTATATACATGTGAGCGTGATGGCCCACCCCATGCTAGTCGTTTTCGATGTAAAGTGGAAATCGATGGAAAAACTTATGAAAGTCCAGAATTTCATGCCACATTAAAAGATGCTGAGAATGCAGTTGCAAAAGTTGCTTTACTGTCATCATGTCAAGATGGAGTTCAAGAGGCTAGTATTCCAATTCAAACCAACTTTCTGGATGTGGTTTTGTGCTTAAATGAAGTACCCATATCTGTTACTTCTACTAATTTCTGGATGTTTATTTCGTTTATAAATTATAGGACTCTGGCCTTTACAAAAATCTGTTGCAAGAGATGGCCCAAAAAAAAGGTCTAGGTTTACCGGTTTATTCAACATCACAATCTGGTGAAATTCATGTTCCAGTTTTTGTTTCAACGGTGAAAATAGGAGAAGCAAATTTTGAAGGGGAACAATCGAGGACCAAGAAACAAGCTGAGATGAGTGCAGCCAAAGCTGCTTATATGAGCATAAAAGAGGGTAAGTGTTTTTGGCAATAGTATACTTTTTTTTAGTCTGTTTCGGTTCCAAGCATGGCTTTCAATTGCACGTTTTTTATTTTATGAGATTTCGGTAGGCAATGTGTATTAGTTTATGCCATGATGGGACATGGGAGTCGATGGACTAAAGCAGAAAATATCTATTATCGTGTTTAACTACTGATGACTAGTTATTGCTTAGCTTTATAGCATTTACTATCTTTTGTGCAATTGTAATCCAGGGAAGTCGAGTTCTACGAACCCTTCAATTGCATCTCCTAGAGGACGAGCTTCTCCTCAAGGCATCCCATGTAGCTTGCAATCCAGTGTCAGCACTGACCTGGAACTGCAAGTGAGATCCAGTCCTGTAATTTCACATCCGGCATTTGAGAAACAACCCAATGATGGAGGTGGTTTTGCCCTTTAAGACTATTATTATATTTGGTGTTCTTTACCTTGGCTATTACACTATATGAACTGATGGCATGCAATCAAAACTATGCATAAATCCGCACCCAAATATGACATAGAAAAGTTATTCAAAAATTGAAACATGTTAGATACATCATCCTTTTAGTCCACCAGGTTTCTGATTATTGTCATTTGATATTATTTGTGCTATATTTATTTGTCACAGTCTTATATTCCATGTTTAGGATCTCAAAGCATTTCAACAAGAAAGAGAGCTCCATCTTCTTGTGACATTGATCATGAAGTTTCTCGTGATATTGCTATATCATCCCGTAATGTTGCTCAACCTGGTAACACCAATGATTACGTTTTGAATTTAGTCTCAAAGCTAGAAGCTGGAAAGAGTTCATCTTCCAAACGGGTCATTGTTTGCCCCCGTCAGCCGAATATGACATTTCCGAAGGATATTACTGTGTTACCAGTAAGCGATGATCAATGGGTTGCATTCTCACTCTCGACCAAAGCGAATCAATAAGCTTTGGTATGGTTTAACTCACTTTGAAATTGTAGCCTAACCACAGTCAGGACTGTGAAGTATAATACTTCTAAAGCATAGGTAGATATATACATGTGTGTATTAACTCTTTAACTCGGAATTGTTGACGATACTTGGAACAATGTTGTTGATGTCTGATCGCTTTTGTCTTTGGGGGATTATTCGTAGTGATAAAAATGTTGGGGGGCAAGGAACTGTTTGAGTACTTAGATGTTTAACGGGGTTAAAAACGAAAATTGGAAAGCTTTCAATATTTGAACTTTTGATGGAAATCTATTCTAACTATGTGATAAGGCCATCCTAATTCTTTGTCAAATTTTTGTTGGAGCAAGAACCATTTGAATCAAAGTAATTAATACCTTCTTATGCAAAATTTGTGTCAATCAAGTTAGAATTAGATTACGGATCGATTTGGAACTTTGTTCTACATTGAGTCATTCCACAATCGAACTTGATCAAGGCTTATTTGAATGGCTCGAATGCAATTTTACGGAAAGAATTGCTCGAACCTTAGAAATGATAAAATTGATGCTCGGATTTTTTAGGAAAATGTCTCAATTTGAGATCTCGATTTCATTCATCCACGAATCTGATTTTTACATGACATATTTAAGGTATTTATAGTTTTACGACAAAAGACGTTTGTGACCGAGATTTAATTCCGATCCTATCTCAACAAAAGACGAATTCAAATTGAGGCTTTGACCATTACATAATTTATAAAACAATGTAAAGTACAATAAGAATAAAATATAAGTTATATAATAAAGTGTGGAAAAGAAAAATAAAATGAGAATTAAGAACAAGGGAATTCAAAATAAAAAAATAAAAAAATTGGAGAGACAATGTTTAAATGCAAGTACACGTTGTCATTAAATGATACTTTGAGTATTCAAAGATGTCAAACTCACCCACTAGACCTAACGAAGTGTTATTAGTAAAAGTTTTTTTAATTTGGATGAGTAGCACTTTTGTAAACACGACTCATATGTGCAAGTGTGAACCTCCCGGCGGTTCGCACCCCACTTGAACTCATCATCCTTGAGCTAATTGTCCATTGCGACATCTGAAAGTCAGTAGATCCCTGAGTGTCATGCTCAACATGATCACCATCACTCTACTAGTGTATGCGTCTGTACTCATCATCTTAAAAAGGAGAAGTGTCGTGATGCTCGTGTACATAGAGAAATGCATAAAGTCCCTCTAATTTTTCTCTTTTTTGAAATGTCTTTATGACACAGACCTAGTTTCATCTTGTGTTACTATTAGCAATACATGCGCGTTAGCTTCTCTTCTTAACGTCATATTAATATTTTGTAGGGTTATGTCCTAGGTTGAATTAACTACATAATGCAATATGGCTGCATACTTAAAGTCGCTACTAATATCTCATGCTCATCTTTAGTGCGAAAATATAATTCTTAAAATGAACCTCATTTGTAATATAAACTTCGAAAATATTTAAAACATACTCTTCTCTAGAAAACACAGTCATAGTCTTACGTGTTTAAATACGAAACACTGAACTTAGAGAAAATAAAAACAAATACAAAATAATTTAAAACGATTAAATGCAAAACAACCTATTCTAACCTAAGACTAGGAATTTAAATAACCTATGCACATGTCATAGTCTCAAATTGCGATGTCGTCGTCCTCCGTACAAGTGCGCCTTGTCTTTACCTGAAAAATGATGTGGCACACGGCGTGACTATTTTGAAAAATATTCAATAAGTGGCCCCACTATATGGGTTATGCAAATGCAAACACATGCAATCATGCTCTTGGGATCTATCTCTAGCTCATCTAGGGGTGGCCTCCAGTCTCGGACCACTATTAATTCGTCACAGGGAACTTCTGTGTTATTTATGAAGAAGAATGATGGATCCTGGTAACTATGCATATATTATAGAAAGTTGAACAAGAAAGTTGAACAAGGTTACTATCAGGAATAAATATCTTCTCCTAAGGATAGATGACTAGTTCGATTAGTTGTAGGGTGCAACGGTGTTCTCTATGATCGATTTGAGGTCAGATTACTATCAAATGAGGATCGGAGAGGTGGACAACAGTGTTCTTCATAGTCATGTCCTATGACCCTACTAATACTTTACCATACTTATGTAGCTAATGAACAAAGTTTTCCAGAAGTTTTCTTTTATACTTTTGTTATCGTGTTTATCAATGACATTCTAGTGTACTCCAAGATAGAGGTCGAGCTTGAGGAACACTTAGGGAAAGTCCGGATGGGGTTGAGAGCACAACAATTGTATGTCAAGTTCTCGAAATGCGAATTCTGGCTGCATGAGGTGGTTTCTTTTTGCATCACGTGGTATCTATTAAGAGAATTATTGTGAATCCAATTAAGATTGAGACAGTTATGAGATAGCCTAGGCCAACCTGTAACACCCGAGCGCTACAAGAAACCAAATACCCGATTTTTCCTTTTAGAGATAAACTTTAGAAATTTTATCGAGGGTC